GTACAGTGAAGCAGAAAAGCTAATGGCGCATATTATGGAGATACGAAAACGGGTTCTTGGGCCACAGCATCCTTATACTATACTCAGTATGAGCTACCTTGCATTGACATACAATAATCAAGGACGGTGGAAAGAAGCTGAAAAGCTGTTTGTGCTTGCAATGGATATTTTCAGACAGACGCAAGGCGCAGAACATTGCAATACTCTGACCACCATGAACAATCTTGCTCTAACATCTGGAAACCAAGGCAAATTAAAGGAAGCAGAAAAGCTGTTAGTGTAGGTCATGAAGACCTTTATACAAGTACTAGGCTTAGAGAATCTGTCTACTCTGACTACTATGACCAATCTGGCATTGACTTATCACGGTCAAGGAAAATGGAAGGAAGCCGAAGAGCTGGAAGTACAAGTACTAAAGGCTCGGGAGCAGATGCTAGGTCCAGAGCACCAGGATACTCTGACTAGCATGGCCAACCTCGCAACAACATACTACAGTCAAGGAAGATGGAAAAAATCGGAGAAGCTAGCAGTGCAGGCCATAGAGACCCAGAAGGAAGTGCTGGGGCCAGAGCATCCTGATACTCTGACGAGTATAAACATCTTGGCATCGAATCACACGAGGCTAGGACGTTGGAAGGAAGCTGAAAAGCTGCTGATGCCCATAATCAAGATTCAGAGACAGATGCTAGGCCCAGAGCATCCTGATACTCTGGCTACTATGGCTAGTCTTGCATCGACATACCACCTTCAAGGAAAATGGAAGGATGCAAATTTGGAAAACAAAAAGTGCCTCTCGATGATGGACAGCCCCGAAAGGTCCTTAAGGCGGCAACTCATCTTCTTCCCTGTAATGCTGCTGGGATTTTAAGGCCTCTCTTAGACCATTGGCACGACAATTGGTCCCACGACCGGCATCCGCTTGGGCTTCCCACGGGATGGATCGGGCTGGGAGCGGCGGTGAATTACACACGAACACTTGATTCCCACGAAGGCCTAGATCATATTGCAGAGCGTGTTGCATACCTCTTGTTATACCTGAACTACCAAGAGCTACGCGCCCATCCCGAAGAATACTGTCCTCGTCCCCGTGCTCCCAAGGAGAGGAAAGAGACTTATATC